GCGCTCACCACCCGAGGCTCCCCGTGCGCTGGGGGCCCACCCTCCAGGAGCCAGCAGGCAGGAAGCTAGCCAGCCAGAACACAGCACGTATTTTAAAAAGTGATCTGGCAGTCACCAGAAAATTTCAGGTCACCTCTCAGATATGTAAGGAACTTAACAGTCTTTAATTTTCTAGCATAGCAGAATTATCCTCAGGTTTCCCATGCCTCTGACTTTCCTAGTTGTAACTCAATTTCTGTTGCAACCCCCATTATGCCAAACACTGAACAACAATTTAAGGAAACAAATCCATCTGCTTCACTATATCCTTGTAGGTTATGGGTTCCCCCATGCAAGTGAGATTCCACTTGGCCTCCTGCAGGATGGGTCTAAGCCCCAGTGCTTCTGTGCGGCCAAGGGGCGGAGGGAGAGAGGATGTGGCACTCAGGTTCCATGCAGCATGGCCGCATCCTCCTCACCTCAGGCAAGGCTGTTCTAATTCAGCAGTTTTTGGCTTCTTGGTAGGGAAAACACTGCCCAAGTCAAAGCCAGCTATTTATTGCCCCTACACAGATTGAGTTTTCCTGGGCTGGAGGAGGCACATGGGAACCTGGATGTTGGTGTGCTCCAGAGAGTGCCCAGGTGCTTCTCTCCCAGCCTTACGCTGACTCCTAATTTGAGCGGATGGTGTAGTAAGCAACAGAAACCCCCAAAATGTCTGAAGGACTGGCAGCCAGAGCCAGTTCATGCGTTGCTTTCTAGTGAAGGCAGCAGTGGAAAGGTTAGAGAGAGGCTCCCACGCCTCAAGACGCAGAAACCGCAGAGTAGAAATGGCTGGGGATGCACCCAGAGGGGAAGGCACCTGGGCCTGACTGACAGGGAGCAGCTAGATGGTGACTCTGTGTCCCAGCCCTGGGAAGGCTGTGGAAGGAGACGAGGGTGAGCCCAGGGGAGTCTAAAGAGGAAAGACGGGAGAGCCACATCCATGGGTTCGGCCCCCGGAGGACTGACAGAGCTACAACTCAGTAAAATACCCACAGCAGTGACTAAGGACCAGCTCGACATTCCTCCACACCAGAGCTCCCAAGAGGAAAACCCATCCTGAGGCAGGGAACTAGTATCAGACCCCAAGTTAACCTAAAGGAAGTCCTCAGAGCCAGGACTTGAAGTGTAAATTGGATTCAGTTTCCGGAGGTGGGATGTCCTTAAGTTATATTACTTGCAAAACCTGAGTTTGTGTTGTAACAAATGTGTGCCCATCTGTGCAGGCTCTCTTATGTTTCCTCATTGGTAATTGTTTAATAATCACTTTTCAGGCCAGGAATATAGCTCAGAAGCACAGCACCTTGCTTGGCAAGCGCAAGGTTCTGAGTTCGATTTCCGGTACCCTCCCCTGAAAATTCACTTTTCATTGTAATAGTACCTGTACTCCTAACATCTCTCATGGCTGTATAGAATTCACCAGGTTTCTTTGCCTTCGAGGTTTTAGCCAGGTGGCTTCCTTGGGTGTTTTTTGTTGCTGCTGCTTTCAGGTTTTGTTTTTGTTTTTTACTATTAGTCATCCAACAGCAAATGTTAAGTGCAGACAGCTTGCTTTTTGATGTATTCCTTAGAACTGTTCTTTACCTCTCTTTCAATTTCCTCACCCATTGCAAGTATCTGTTGAGCACCTGCGATGTGCCTGCCGCTGTTCCAGGTGGTTGGGTGGGGATTCAGGGGAACAGCACTGAAGCCTGCTATCACAGAATCCATGCCTGCGGGGAGGGAAGGCCCAGAAGACACGCACAAGTGATAGTCAGGTAGTGATAAAAGTAGGAGAAAAAAAGCTGGGCATGATGGCACACACCTGTAATCCCAGCATTCTAGAGGCTGAGGCAGGAGCATCTCCAGGAGTTCGAGGCCAGCCTGGGCTACATAGTGAGACCCTGTCTCAAAAACAAAACAAAACAAAATGGGAGAAAAAATAAAATAGAGAAGGAAGTGAAGGTTGCATAGGGGGCTGCTATAGACTAGGTGGTCATAGAAGCCATTCTCTCTCAGGAGACCTGAAATCTGGATGAAGTAGGGGAACTAGGCCTGGGAAAACCCTAGGGGAAAGAGTTCCACAGACACAAACAGCAAATTCTATGTGCAAGAATGAGTCAGAAATGGACAAAATATATATCCCCAGTACATCCCAATTTCAGTTAGCCCAAAGAAGGTCTTGGAATGAAGGAGAGGCAACAGCTTGGCCCCCAAGAACACAGAACTGAAGCCAAACAGCCTAGATTTGCTTCCTGACTGCCATGCATGGTAAATGGTGTGACCTTAGATCTCTCTCAGTTTCTCTATACCTCAGCTTTCTTACCACTAAAACAGTGAAAATACACCCATCTTCCTAATGTTTGTGAGAATTAAATAGGCAAAGCACATAGCACACACCCATCAGCTGTGACCATCACCACCAGGTTGTAAACTGAGGGCAGAGGCAGATGTGTCTGCTTTGCTTACAGCGAGATCTCGAGTACTCAGGCAAGCGGTGCACAGCACATGACATTCAACACGTCGTGGTGGAATTAACGGTGGATGAGTATGGTGCAAAAAAGGTGATACCTAAGGGTGATACAAATTTATATTAACCTGAACTGGTAACAAAAATAAGATAAGGACTAGTCTGTTATTCATCTTGGGGTAGGACAAGGCTCCCCATCGAGGAAGACGCTGTGAGGGGAGACTAGGAGAAGCAGGAGAAGCAAGAACATCTTTAAGAAAATTTGGGCAAAGGCAACTGTAGGTGAAGTCTCAGGTTTTGAGCACAGGGCACACAGTGTTCTTTGGTTGGATGTTGCGTCCCTTACAGCCCCGCGATGCAGGAAATGTGCTCATGCCGTCAGAGTCATGATCCAATTTGCAAAGGCCAACTTTTTCGGAGTGATTGTGCCTGAACATGCTGGCCCAAGCCACCAGGAGGTTGGCAGGCCACACAGTTCAAGGCATCGGAGCCCCGTATGTTTGCACACAAGC